GCAGCAGCGGTTGCATAACCTTCAAAAATGCGAAAATTGTACTAGAACTTTAAAATAGTTCCGGTTAGAACAAAATATGCTGTCCCATCCTCGACCGAGGCCGGCAAATGCGATTCAAGCGCGGGTGAAGTGCAGCACCATGGAGGAAGTCACATTCCAAAGTTCCCTTCCCCGGGCTACTCGATTCCGTCTGTCCGACCGCGCGCGTGATTCGAGCATAGGTTCAATACATTACCCAATGTTGCCCGAGTGTACGGAGGGCGGACGTCAGACTGTCAGCGTGGTATGAGCATAAGTTTTTATCGTGGGAAAACCGATAAAATGGAACATCGTAAATTGCTCATGGGGGTAATGCTCACCTCCTCTCCCGGGCCGGTGCCCAGCGCTTCCGGTATAAAAGAGTGCTTCTGATTTGTTGGAACAGAAAACTATATTAAAAATGGTACAACACAATGATGGCCAAGTATCACAACGTAATCATTTTGTTTCATGATTATTTTTGCGAAAACTTGTCAGCGTTTGGCATGGTGAGCATTGTATGTTGCTATCGTGGCGGTTTGTTGAGAAGGATTGGCGGGTGAAAATTATGGCAACAAATGGCAGAGGCACGAGCCTTGAGAAATCAATCAGAAGAAACTATTCTTTCAAAAGTGAAAAGTTTGCGGTTTCTGGTAGTTATACTTTTCGAGCTTGTGAAGGAACTATATGCAGTTGCTGCTGGGATTGACAGCATACATTTTACTGTGTTTTTTTTTCTGGTGAGATGAAAGCTGTCAAAGAAAGTCGGTCAAATTTGGTGCATTGACGTTTCAAGGAATGTTGTCGGTTCAATGTGTTGAATTCATGTGTTGTGTTCAACTGGAGAACATTGAACTGTCGAGTTTTGAATGCTATGCTTTGTGCGCAGGTTGGATTTTATAGCAATCACTAGTTTATGAAGCATATGAAGGCATGTGAAACAACATTTTCTACATTAAATTTATTGAAATGGTATTCTACCTTCAGAAGGTATAGATACATATATTGGTAGGAGAAAACTACCTAAAGCCCGTTTAAGATGAGTCAATTCAGCATTTAACTTTTAATTGTAAATTGAACAACCAGACAGTTGGTCGACGTCGAGCTTCAAAACGCTGGTATATCGTGAGTATATTCCCAGTTGAAGTCTAGGGAGTTGTCACTGAAGGGAGTCTGACTCGATTTTCTGAAAGTGGTATACTCTCTTGAAAAATCTAATACTGGACTGCATTCAAATGTATTCAGTGTCCCTCTTCAGAAAAAAGGCTTACACAATTTTGGACTAGTTTTGTGTGACATTCTGTGGATCGCCCCTACCTGATAACGTTGCGATTGGGAAGATCGGGCTACCTGTGCGCTAGTTTGTACCAAAGGCAATTCCAACCGAAATTCAAGCAACTAGAGCACACTGCAGCCTTCTTCGGTAGCAAACCACGTTGCGATCTGTGTGGAGAAAAGCAAACGGAGGGTTCGTGTCGTGCCATTCCAAAATGTGCTGTGGACCATTGGTTATTGTTTGGAAGGTTCGCATGCTATCGCTATTAGTCCAAGGTACAAATAGCAGGGAGAAAACTAAAGTGGTCCTTGAAGGCTATATCCTTCGTGGAAATCCTGAGAACTTTCACTCCATCTTTTTGGATTTCCCCGTGCAGCAATAACTTTGATCTTCTCCCAGTTGATGATCACGGCTTTGATGTTGATTTAATTTTCAAATGCTCAACTAGTAAGCTATCCAGGAATGTCGTGCAACAACTTCGAAAAGCCTCTGTTATTGACCCTTAGGTAATCTTGGAGAAATCAGGAAGTAGCCCCTCCTTTTAAATCATTTGATTTTGAAAGGGACTTTCCACAGCTTCCAAAAGGTTCTTCCAAAATTGTGGACAGCATTCTCGAATTAATGAATGTGTCTGACTCCATAAGGAGATTCGATATTCATAGATTACAAAATTACTAAAAACTAACGTTAGTAAAGCGGGTACCGATTACTCGCGGCTATCTCGAGGTTAGGGGTAACAAATTGTAACAAATGGATGGAAGGGTAGCGATTGAGAACACAAGGTTTGGAGAGAAATGTGCTCTTGATCTCGAACTAAGCGACATACTAATGAAAAAGACAAACATGGGGTGTTTTTGAGTTGTATCATTTGTAAATCTGGAAATATTGAACAACTTCTGGGCTCGTTTAAGTGAGGCAAACTTCATAAGAATTATGAGAATTTCGTATAATTTAAACGAATTGCGTAGAAATTCCAGGAGCTTCGTAAAACTTCATGAAAATGATGAGATTTTTTATTTAAATTTTGCCAAAATTGTAGATGCTCAGCAAAGTTTGTAGAAGCTCCAGGAATTTGTACGCAATTTGTTAAAATTATACGAAGTTCTATTCTAGCTTCTATGAAAGCTCAGAATTGAGAGAACTTAGAAAACATTTGGATCTTGTAGAAGATTGAATTCTCAGGAAGTAATGCCAAGAAAAAATGGTCGACATTTAAGGATCATTAGAGCCATTTTATACCCCTCAGGATTTTGAGTACCTATTTATACTAATACATCAAATGTCGGAGCTGTTATGTTAATTCGGTTGTGCCGAATGACGTAGAGTAATAATAATAAATATAACCGGTGTGGTAAAATTTTGACCGGCAGCGTGACTGATTTTGATCTGGCGGTGTACTGATTAATTTTCACCAGTGGCGGCGCCTTGGCGCGGTGGCGCTCAGGTCTACGAGAAAGCAATTCTTAGATATTTTGAAGCTCTCCTCATAACTACACTTGAATAGCCATCGGAAATCCTTTAGAATCTTTAAAAATTTGCATCGAAATACTTATAATAAAGTGACAAATGAAAGTTCTTTTTTCAAGTCCAAGAACCTTGATCTTTTTTTTTTTATTATTATTGTTATGTTCGTTTTTGAATCTGGGATCGTGGAAAGTTTTCTAGACACGACATGTGGAATCTTCGTTTCAGAATCTTCATTATTTTTCCAAGCGTGTTTTTTTCGTGGATCTCTCAAATAAGATTAGACTTCTAAAATAAGGTTACCCAGTAAGGTTAATTTCTTTAAAAAAAACCTTGAAAGTTTTTTTTAAGTTACGAGTTCAAACCTCATCCCTGGATATGTCACTATAATAATAATAGTAATAATAATAACAATAATAATTAATCAAACTTGCATTCTGTATGTCAAAAATAAATTGTTTTAAAAGGCTTTGAAAAGCTTTCGAGATCTAAGACATCTACAAAATAATGAAAATCTAGGGCTTTGATAATTTGCTGCGATCTTAACGGTTCTTTATATACATTCTATATTAAGGAGACATTCGCCCAAGGCTGGTTCGTCTCCGGATGTTTTGATAGATTTCAATCCCCCCTCCTCTTCGCTGGGTAGACAGCTGTTCATACAAATTGAATGTATAAACCGGAAACACTTGCCAAACCCATCACATCTCCTTAGCTGTCTACGAAGTTGATGGACAACCGGTTACTAATGATTCCGGATGATGTGATATTTTCAAAATCCCTAAAATCTGGGGGTGGTATTTGCCTCTCCCTGTCACCACTGAGTTTTGGCGGTAAAAGTGCCAACAAGCACGAGTAATTGACAGCTTAACATCATTTGTTTGTAAAGAAACGGGCATTAGATACCTACACCGTGTAAAATTTCGGTGTAGGGCGGTGCAGTTCTGGAGTAGCTACACCATAAAAACGAAAATGACATAAACTAAAAAGTGGCGGGAAGACTTTTAAAGTTATTTATTTCTTCAATCGTGGTGAAAACTTTTTCTTAAACCTTCTGGCATCCCTGATTCCATTAGATTCGAGATGTTGCTCGAAAAGTGTGGTGGGTTCTGTTTGAACGAACAGAATGAACCACGCATGCGCTGGACGTTTTTATTACATACACACGCACACACTGTTGAAATGGAGCGAATGAACACTGCATGATTTTGTGTTACATATTTGTATGACAATTTCACCAGTTTACCAGTTTGTTCTAGAATTTGAAATTTGTTTTAGGGTGTATTTGGGATAGGTCAGTAAAATACTGTTTTGGAACGGGTGACTCAACACACGGAATGTTCGAGAATGGCTGAGAATGTCAATTCCTAATTTATTGTCATGCGTTTTTTTTTTAAGTATTTTTCATTAAGGTAAGGCGAACGTGCATGATTATAGTGTATTGATTCAATTCACCCCCGTTCTTAAAACCGAACAGAAAAAGTTGTTCATCAACCATCTTTCAAATGAACTATAAGCCCTAATAGGTCGTATTAGACGGGCTTTAAATAATGCTTCTCAATGCACTGGGTTTAATTTGAAGGGTTATAAAAGTTTTTAGTCAACAATTCTACACGCTCGCTGTACAGATTGATTGCTTTGCTTTGAGGCTTCCATGCACTTTGTGCTTAAAATTCCTGAATTATAAAGGCTACACAGATCTTAGCTGTATCATATAGCAAATTTGCGAAACCAAATTCTTGGTCAGTGCGAATCTCAACCTGACATAGGATTTAAAACCAATCGATCAAACTGTCGTTTATCAGAAAACCGTCAGACCCAATCTTGATACTCGATCTAGATTGGAAATGAATCAGAAACACATTCGGTAATAAAGATCATTACTCATAAAAAATAACAATCTTATTATTCAGACAATAGCAATATAACAATATTCTGGGAATTTCTGAAATTAATTTGGATTTAGGTCTTACTTGTTTACTTGTTTTGTGACACAGGAACGATCTGGAACAATAAACATGTTGCTTCATCTATCAGTATGCATTTAATATGTACAGCTGATGTTCATAGCGGAAAATTCATGATTATTCTAGCACTTTCGTGAGTGTTCAATGTTCATCGCCGATTCAACCGCAGTAAACATGTGCGCATGTATGCGTGTGAACACCGATGTGCTTACGGAACTATAAAAGGAGGCAGGGTTCATGAGCCTCAGTATCAGTTCAAACAGAAAAACGAAACCGATAAAGTGCTAGAAACACCTGAAAGTGAAAGTGAAAACCCAATTCAAAACAGTGAAAAACCAGAACAAGTTAACCGGAATATCAGTGCTAAGTGAAAATGTCTCTCATTCCGATTGTGTTCCGTGACTGGTGGGATGACTGCTGGGACACCCCACTGCGTACATCGCAACTTCTGGATCAGCATTTTGGAAGTGGAATCAGCGCCGACGATTTGCTGACGGCCCTAACCTCGGCTGCTGCTACACAGTCTGCTTTGCAGAACCAGAGAAGATCCCGTTACAACAGACCGTGGCGCAATTCAAATCTTGCCTCCCTTCAGGACTCTGGATCAACGGTTAATGTTGACGACGATAAATTTCAAATAAATCTGGATGTGCAGCAATTCTCACCGGACGAGATCTCAGTCAAGGCCACAGGCAACAGCGTCATCGTTGAGGGAAAACACGAGGAAAAGCAGGACGAGCATGGATACATCTCGAGACACTTTGTACGTCGTTACTTGCTCCCGGCAGGACACGATGCCAATAAAATTGTTTCATCACTATCATCGGATGGCATTTTGACAGTTCAGGCTCCAAAGAAGGCATTACCGGAACCAGAAGGACCGAAAGCGATTCCGATTGTTCAGACCGGTCAACCCGCGAAGAAACTAGCGGAGGGTGCCGAAAAGAAAGCAGTTGAGGATGCCAAGTAAACTGTTCAAACTAATGCTGCTGCAAAGCTACCAAATACCTCATGTTAGCATTATTTAGCTTTTAAGAGATTTCAATGATTTTGTTTTAATAAAGATTGATTTGGAAAATATATATTTTACGACTCTCTTCATTTTCGAGAACACCCATAAAGATAAGGGAAATGTTGGCTTCGGCAATACCTTAACCTATTATCGTCAGGGGGGTAAACAAAGTTCTAGAGCACTCAAATTTGGCCAATAGTTGCTCTGAAACACAATGTATCCACATGCCAAAATTGAGCTCTCAAGGACGTTGTTTACCCCCTGTCGATAATAGTCGGCATACCATTTGATAACGGTGCAAAAGCATTTGTAAACAAATTTTCTAGGGCCCTTTACACGCGAAGCAAAGTACGCCCACGCAAACCAATACCACTTTCGGAAAGGTGGTAGTTGCCCATCCGATGATGTTGGTTTGCGTAGGCGTACTTTGGTTCACTTGTAAAGGGCCTTAGAAGGTTTGTTTACAAATGCTTTTGTGCCGTTATCAAATGTTATGCCTAATATGTAGTTCCAAGTGCAAGGAAGTCTTGAAGAGTAGTTCCCCTAGAACTGCTGATAGATTTGTAGAAAATATCACGCATAATGAATCTCTTCTACTGTATTTTAAATCATCTTATGAACACCGTATAATGCAGGTAATACTCCGTGGTGATTAAAATTCATAATAATTAATAGAAGGAAGCCTTGAGGAAATCTAGGCATTGAGGTGTTTCATCACATTACGCGACTGTCATGTGACTGGAGCTATTCTCGGAATTGTCATTTAAATTTAATTGGAATCATCTTCAGAAATCTGTGCTCAGAATTCTTTTCAGTTTTTCTTTTGAATGGTTTATTATTCTGAGTTTCTCCTTACAATTCTTCTCAGAAATACCATGTTAAGTTATCTTGGAATAACAATCTTACATTCTCTTCACAAAGTTCATGGAGTTGATTTCATAATCACCATGGAATTCTCCCCAGAATTCATAAAGAATACTTTCCTGCAAATTCTTTTCAAAATACCCTTGGATTTATCTCAATTCTCATGGAAGTTCTATTTAAAATACATTTTGTAAGTTCATGTAAGATAATAGAAGCTGTGAGCCTTTTCCTCGGAATTTTCCAGGGCCATCAATATTAAAAATCAACTTCAATATTTGTATCAGCCTTGAACATATTTCTTTCTCAGGGTATAAGATTTATTTTTACAAGGTCATGATTTATTATTGAATTTCTAAGTACAATATATCACTTTTTAAAGTTCAACCCAATGATCCGTTCAGCTCAATAAGGTTCGGCCAGTGGTTTTCGAAAAACTTCGGCATGTACGTCCAAATTTCGAGGCAGTTTGAGCTGATCGAACTTGCTCGGACTTGTGGTATCCCAACTACCCAACCGAAAGGAATGAGTAATCGTCCAGTTAATTATTACCGAGAAATCACTTGACACGGGAATCCAATAGACTCGATAAAACGTGACTTACCTAACCAAATACTGACGACTCAATGGATGCCGATACTAGGGTTGCCGCACACGGCATCCGCTGTACAGTGGTGCCATCATCACACACTAAACTATGAGGGGTAGGGTAATGCGGAGGTTAAGTCCTATGTACACCTCACAGGACTAATGTGGTGTTTACATCTGTACGGATTTGCTCATGCTGGTAGACGCTGATGCCCTGTTTACATTATGCTGGTGAGCTTTTTTGCTAGCAGCTGGCTAGTAAAATAGCATAAGTGTAAGTACCCCATAAAGCTCGCTAGCTGATTCTACCAACTCGGAGTCGCTCGTATTTGGCTGAATGATTAAACCAGTACCAGCAACTACGAGTTAATCGGATCGACTGAATTAACGCCAAAAACAAGTTTTTGCGATCTGTTTCGAGTTCTCCTTCATCAAAGCTATTTTAATTGAGGGGCATTTGCCCACCGTCCTTGCCTCCTCCAGGCTTGTGAGCAGTTTCACGCCAAATGACGAATCGGAAAAATTTAACCTTCTCCACTTTGCATGAAACATATATTCTATAGCATAATTGTGTGTTATGGGCATCATTCTCTTTTTTTTCAGAAATTCGGCCATTTTGACTATTGATTTTTTTTTTTCAAAATGGCATATTTTTAATTTTTTTAAAGCACAAAACGTCACAAAAATGCGAATGATTGCCGATAACACAAAGTTATGCTACTTGTCACTTATAATTTGAAAAGTCTTAGGAAAAATAATATTTTTTTAAATGTAATTTCAATGATTTGTGCATTTTACATAAGTGATAATGGCACTAATTTTAACAAATAGTCTTTCCAATAAAGACAAAAATAATAATAATAAATTTAAACAAATCGGATGTTATCGTTTGTATCAATCATTAGGTCAAAACTTATCATTTGAATAAAACTAAAACTTCCATATACCTGTAAATTAGCTGTAAGATGAATAAAATATTCCTAAAGGGTTTAATAAATGCATTGCGTATTTATCGTTATTTTGTGTAATTAATACCAATATCCATACGCATACATGCGGGGCTTATTGTGAGGGAAAGTGTCCTCGGAATGAGTGTGACTCTCCAGACATTCTGAAATGGGTTGCTGGATCTGTAATCGTTGTTTTCAATTTTCTTAAAAGTTATCTTATCTATATCTAATCATGTTATGATAAAATTAGGCGCATTTGTGTAGGCTACAAAGGCATAATTCTTTAATTAAAATTATTGTCAACGTTTTCTTTTTTTGTATAAAATCATGGTTCATAAAACCAGGATTTTATGAAATACTAACCAGGGAAACCGGGGAAAAACTGGAATTTTTAAATATGACTTCAGTTGCCATTTTGCTATTGTAAAATTCATACAATTTGATTTCTCATACGGCTCTTTGCTTTGCATAAATTTCACGCGGCTGTCACTTTTCGAAATGAGTAATTGCGCCTGATGAAAGGCTGCAACGTTGTGCACCTTAAGGCTCAAAACTGAACAAATTGGGTTCTTTTATTTTGAAAAATATATCGGTTTTTATATATCATCTGAAAGAGCTTCGTTTTCTGAGCACAGCGATATTTTTTTCAACCCCACCCACTTTCATCTCGATTTTTAAATCATGATTTAAAGCAAAATAATAACTTCACTGTTTGACACTAAACTGACAAACTGACAGCTCGCTCCCATACAAAGTGACACCGAGGGGCACTAATAAGGTAATTTTTGCAAATGTAATCGTACTTATTTAAAATAGTTCCAGTGTGCCAAAATTGATGAAATTTTGGGTTTGGGTTCCATTTTTAATGCAGATTACGAATATGCATTTACCTTAATACCCTTAAAGAACCCAATTAGCGCGTTCTCAATTTTAAAAAGTGCTAGTTTCTTGCTTATCGTCTTTGGTGCACGTTTTCCTTATTGAGCCAGAAATAAGTGCTCCAAAGACACCAAAACAATTTGACGGAAACTTGCACTTTTCTCACACTCTTTGAATTTTTTGGGAAGACCATTTTCAGTTGCAATCAACAATATTGATGGAAAATGTGATTCTAATCGGATAGAACAATACTCATGTAATTTTAGATCAATATAATGTGTTTTATTTTCTCAGTCTCTAAATAAATTATAAATAAATAGCTAGCAACCTGGGAATGATTCAAAAAAAGACTAGAAGTACATAAATAGTATTTCACTTAAAACCGTTACTCGTCCAAGTCTTCTAGTGTAAAATCTAAACCACTTCCTTCATCCTTCGTACCATTTTGATCTGACTTCTTGGGATGTTCCACCGGTATCGTACGTTCCTTTTTCGGTGTGGGAAGTGCTAATGCTTTCATCGGTGCGCTGATCGTCAGCACTCCATCGGATGAGAGGGTTGACACAATTTTCTCATTATCATGTCCTTCTGGCAGTTGATAGCGTCGGACAAAGTGCCGCAACGCGTACCCATTCTCAACGTCCTTGTCCTCGTGTTTTCCTTCAACTATGACATATGTATCCATTGCTTTCACTGAGATTTCTTCGGGTTTGAACTCACGAACGTCCACATTGATTTGAAAATCAGCGCGAGCCTTCTTTGCTGGTAATTGCTCTTTACCAACATCTTTGTCGCATCCCGAATGGCGCCTGCATCTTCTACGTTCACATCTTCGCGGTCTGTTATCGATCGCCAGTAGGAAACCACCAGGGAATGCGTCACAGTCGATGGGTTTGCTTATGATTCGAGATGATCGGAGGGGATTGTCCATACACTCATCCCACCATTCACCAAACAGCATTGGGATTAGGGCCATTATGGTTTTTGAATGTTTGAAACTTCTAGAGTTTTTTTTAATTCACTAAAGACTTCACAGTTTTTCTGAAGAGATTGCGTAAAGTATTTCACTTTGATACGTTCACTTGCGCTTTTAAGAATATACTGATGTCGAGCAGTGAGTTCCATGGGCGTTTTATATCGATGTGTGAGATTCTAGTTCATTCGATTGGAGCTGTCGAGATTTTTCTCGAATATTTGAGTTTCCACACATTGATTTAAAACGCATATCACTCATCTGATGATGAACCACACTAAAGTTAATGCATGAATGAACCGAATTTACTCGAATAAACCAGAATGAACTAGAAGAGTAAGTGAGCATATGTATTGTGTATGCTATGTATTTTTATGCGTATGATTCATCATGGTTGTTCTATAAGTGCCAAATTTACCGAGTTGGTTTGTCCTAGGTCAGTACTGTTTTGATTATGCAGTGAGAAAGAGTGGATTTTTCTAGAACATTTCAGGCATAACATTGGATAACGGCACAATAGCATTTGTAAACAAACTTTCTAAGGCCCTTTACACGCGAACCAAAGTACGCTCACGCAAACCAACAACATCATCGGATAGGGGCAACTATCACCTTTCCGAAAGTGGTATTGGTTTGCGTGGGTGTACTTTGGTTCGAAAGTTGGTTTACAAATGCTTTTGTGCCGTTATCAAATCAGGCATAACATTTGATAACGGCACAAAAGCATTTGTAGACAAACTTTACAGGCGAACCGAAGTACACCCACGCAAACCAATACTACTTTCGGAAAGGTGATAGTTGCCCCTATCCGATGATGTTGGTTTGCGTGGGCGTACTTTGGGTTCGCATGTAAAGGGCCTTAGAAAGTTTGTTTACAAATGCTTTTGTGCCGTTATCAAATGTTATGCCTGATTTATGATCAAGATGTTTGAATTACATGCTATGTTTACTTGAGTATCGTAAGTTCAGAGAAAAAATAGCATTCTTCGTCAATTTAGTTCGCAACAGCTACCTACCGTATCTAGTTACTGGCTATAGTTTTGATGTATGTAACTGACTAAAAAATTAGAAAATAGCATAATGCTTGAATTTAAATTAAACTTTAAATTGGCTTTGATCATAATCATTTTCCAATTCTACAATGCAGAAGCATTGATTAGATAATTATATGGAATATCAAACAAAACAAATTAAAAATCCTTGTGGTTTTTAACAGTATAGCGTTTCTAATTTTGTTCAATACTGTGCATTTAGGTGGGGCTTCAATTATATTTCAAATCAGGAAAATTATTTAAATAAATCCTTTAAAATGAAAAACGAAAAAACGTAAGTGTACCTTCCAAAAATATACTCACATATGGTTGAAACTTTCAACTTGAGTCGTACAAAATTGCGAAATAAAGTCAACATGCTGGTATGCGTGATTCATTCGAGGTGAACATTCTAGACATTTCGCGAGAGTTTTGCCGCTCATCTATAGGTGGATGTTTGAAAATATATAAAGCGCGTGAGTTCATGAGCCGGTATCAGAAACCAATCCCACCAAGGTGGTCGACCGTGTACTAAGTCTAGGACTAATCCTGTAAAACAAATTTTAAATTTTGCCCATACCTAAAGATGAAGAAAGCAATTAAATCACTTAGTAAAAAATTTATATGGTAATCGTCCAAGTTAAACTAAAATAAAGATCATTTAAACAATAAACAACAATGAGCCGGTATCAGTTCACGTTTAACAGCCAACAGTGAAAAGTGCCTGTAACATCGCAAAGTGTTATAATTATCAAAAGTGAAACCCAAAGTTTTACTGTGTACAGTGCAAAAACCAATAGTCAAAGAAAATGCCTGTCGTTCCGATTCTGTTTCGCGATTGGTGGGATGACTGTTTGGATACGCCGCTGCGTACATCCCGAGTCCTGGACCAGCACTTTGGCAGTGGAATCACCGCTGACGATTTGCTGACGGCCCTTACTACGGCAGCTGCAGCACAATCGGCCATGCAAAACCAAAGAAAATGTCTCTATAGTCGACCGTGGCGCAATTCCAGCCTAGCGTCTCGTCAAGATTCCGGATCGACGGTCAACGTTGCTAGTGACAAATTCCAAATCAACTTGGATGTGCAACAATTCTCACCAGAGGAGATTTCAGTCCAGGCCACCGACAACAGCATCATCGTTGAAGGCAAGCACGAAGAGAAACAGGATGAACATGGATGCATCTCGAGACATTTTGTACGTCGTTACGTGCTTCCGGCAGGGCACGATGCCAACCAAATAGTTTCAAGGCTCTCGTCGGATGGTATTTTGACGGTCAGCGCTCCGAAGAAAGCTCTCCCCGAACAGGAAGGTCCCAGGACAATCCAAATCGTTCAGACAGGTCAACCGATGAAGAAACTGACGGAGAAAGCTGAATCCCAGACGAATGGCAATGTAACCGAGGAAGCCAAATGAAAATAATAGCAAGATTAAGGTATTCTTGAATATGCATTGCTGTATTACTGACTGAAATAAAGTTAATTTAAGTTCCTAACTTGAGGTGTAGGTCTTTAACAATTGGAAAGAAATGATTTTTATGAATGTCCGAGCTGTGTTGCTAATGAGGTTTTACTTCACACGTCTCTTACCGATGATATGTGTTTACCTCTCAGTATCCTCTAACTTTATCATAAACTAAGCATGCACCTTTACAATTGTTGAAATGACCCATATAAAATTCAAACATATTTGTTTTAAACATCTAAATGATCGTTTAAATCCCCGGTGAAAATCCCTACAAAAGTGATCGACATATTTTATGTAAAATTTAGCAACACAATTTAAAAAATGTACCGGTAAATTAATAAAGAATGAGCATTGAAATTGTACGAATGACCCATAAATATATTGCATATAACGTTCAAAAATAAACCAAAAACTAACGAAATTGGTCCATAGAAAATCAAGCTTGCTCACTTAAAATATATACACATAATAAGATTATTTCACCGAAATCTCAACAGCTGAACGTTCGGTAAAAAGTTCGGTAATATTTCACAGTTTTCCTGTAAATTTTTACCGAATACCTGTGAAAAATTACAGGAAAACTGTGAAAAATCACCGAACTGTTTACCAAACGTTCAGCTGTTGAGATTTCCGAAAAAATTTCACATATTTCGGTTAAAAAATCTTAGTGTGTAGTAATAATCCATAAATTACACATATATTTTTGTGTAATGATGGGTAAATTATAAATATTAGTGCAAGAAAACCTTTGAATTTATCCAAAGTTATGCACTAATACTTGTGCAATTCACAAACGTCAGAGAAGTCTATGGGAGAAGTTACGCATTCTTGTGCTTCCATTAGCATTTTTTCATCGTCACGCATACATATGACGTGTTTGTTTGTTTACATTTATCTGCTGCTTGCTGCTCTATCCATTCAAATCGACAAAATTGTTAAAAACTGTTTTAAAACGTTTTTACAACGCTCTAAACTTCTCAGATGAGTGTGACTATTGTCGGTAGCCTCTTTTTCTTCGACAACCTTTCCATATGAACTGCGTGCTATCCAGCTGTTCTATTATCGGCAACTCGAAATCATCCGCATTCTGTAGAGCGTATATTTCATGATAAGAAAATTCTGGCATAACAAGATTGATCAATCGTAAAAATTTAATCAGATTAAAGCTCAAAGACTTAGGAATCGGTAGGATACATTAGGCGAAGTGTTTTGGTGTGAAAATTCAGTGAAATTAACGTTTAGATTTTGGTTGCCAAAACCGTCAATGGGTGCCCAAGCCGTCATTTAGCCTAATTCTTTTTGAATTCTATTAGAATTATCTTTAAATCCTCCTTAAAATTAATCTACTATTAGTTCTCCTCACGATTCTCATAAAACCTCTGAAGCATGTAGGAATTCAATTCAGATCTTCTGTTGAACTGATGTCTTGTAACGTCCCGTTAGAACTCGTAGGTTGTTGTGAACAGCTTTAGCTGTAACTAGCTTTTTTATTATAAGTAATACAGGGTGGTCACTGAACCGGGAAAATCGGGAATTAACGGGGAATCGTACACAATTTGGAAAACCGGGAATTTAATTTGAACCTAAAATACAGTTTTTACATGTACTTAGGTATTTGAAATTTATATATATGTAAATGTACATGTAAAAAATATATGTTTAAATTTAAATTAAATATTTTATTCTTCAGGAATATTCTAAGCCCGTTATTTAGAATATTTCACTTAGAATCTTGAATAATTCATCAAGCTAGAAATTCTTAACTTTTCCTCAATTCGGGATACCAAAACTTAAAAGTTAGATCTAAAAAATTGCAATGCCCTAGAGTTTTGATAAGTTTTCAAACCTAAGGTGGTGATAATGTTTTCAAATCATTATAGTGGGAATCTTATGTAATTTCTAAGCCTTGAACACGTAATTTTTTGTCAACTTTTGCAATCTCTAAATCCAAATGTTGTTCTTTGTCAGAATCTTCTGGAACGCTGCTCAGACTTTTTAGGAAATAATAACCTAAATTTACTGTGAAATCTCCTCTTTGAAACCCTTCCGCAAATCTCTTTAAATTATTTCAAAATCCTGATAAATTCTCCAAGAAATTTTCTTAAAACTATCTTCAGTTTGAAATTCGGTAACGTTTTTTTCAGTTATATTCTATATATTCAACATTATCGATATCCCCTGGGAATTCTCATTAGAATTCTTTTTTATTAATTTAATGATTGAATGATTTCTAGGCCCTATATGATCATCAGGAGTATTGTCAGAAATGTTTCCATATCATAATTAAGTTTGAAGTAGGGTTAATTATACACTTTGAATTTTCCTCCCGAATTCCTTTAGAATGCTACCAGAAAATCCTTCAGAGTTGCTTTAAAATTCTCTGGAGTTCTACTTATAATCTTGTGATTTAAAAAAAAACTTTGTCCGAGTTCTCAAAAGTCCTATACAGAATAGGATTTCAGAAGAGTTCTATTTTAGGATTTCTGTGAAAAAAAATGTATCTAAAATTTGGAGAATTAACCGTTTTCTACATGTTGATTTTTTTTTCAATCGATATGTTTTCCAGTTTTCTGCCTTTAAAAAAATGAACAATTTTTATTCCTTAAGTAAATTACTGAAATCAACCAAGCTTTATCAAATTTTGCTGTTTATATAAAACCGGACAAAAATATGATGGGCACCCGGGAAAAATCGATTCCATTTGAATAGTTTCATGTTGCCAGGCTTTAGCGATAGGTAGTCGTAATGGTTTGTTGTGGTGAAAGGAGCTCGGTGGCTTAGCAGCGGCCGACTTTGCTGAGCTTAATATTGTGGAGTCAATCCCATTTTTTGGATTATTCATATATTTTTTAGTGCGGAAACTTGATTTCCTATGGATCAATTTCATTAGTTGATGGTTCATTGTTGAACGTTTTATGGATCATTCGCAATTTGCTTATGGGTGAATCGAATTTTTTTTAGTGTTTCAAAATTTTATATAAAACATGGATCATAGTGACATTTTTTATGAATCATTAACACATTTTTAGGGATTTTCACCGAAGTAGTATGTATCATTTGGATGTTTTTTTTTATCAATTCTTCATGGATAGTTTATTGATTTATATATGCAAAAGTATGCTTGCCTATAAAAACTCAATACGATATCAAAGGTAATACAGGTAAGCTACAAAATGGAACCAATGTTCGCAATATGGAAATAGTGCAGTGAGTATATTTAATCATTATATTATACAATTAAAATTAACCTGCATTGCCCCGTTTTATGGTACCACAAGTTTGCAGCTAAAATGTGTAGAAATATAAAAATGATCGTCAAAAAAAATTCAAACTATTGAAATGATCATAATAGTTGTAATAAGTATTTCATGTTTTTATGTTTTTTTTCTTCTGTTCGGGACCTAACACTACTGCGACCAGTAAATTGATCTATTGTAGTATATCCCGTGTCCTTAGTTTAGTGCATGTCGTATTACTCCATCACTATTGAGAAATTATGAAGTATTCGATTTTTTTTACAGTTGCCGCTCTTGCATTTATCGCAAGAATCCGACTCTAATTGAAAGGTCCCGCTATATATACCCTTCGGAATGTTGAAAAACCCTCCAAAGGTGCGCCCCTTTGTCAGTCAAAATTGGATTCATTAGCAACAAAATGAAGGTATGACACCGATAATGACCATGCATCAGAACCCTAGTCTTAACCACTTCAAACTAGGAAACAACGAATAGAAGAAGAGGAATCACATAGATGAAGACAACTAAATCATTTTTTTCCTTGTTTCAAGATTATCCTCGATAGACAAAGCCGAGTCTTGTCACTATCAACAAGGCATAAAAAGTAACAAGGACTAAGATGTGTTCCTTGGATTACTGAAAAATCCTGTTCCCCTAGTTTGAAGTAGTCAAGACTAGGCTACCACCGATTCCTAGTCCTGACTACTTCAAACTAGGGGATCTTACATTCCGTAACGTATCACAAAAAATTGTTCTACCCACGTTACTGGGCATGTTTTTATGTTAATATGATGTTCAGTTAAAGAAAATTTCTTTGTGGTTGCGGGCGTGTTTTTGTCTTTGATTAATTTTTAGTTTCATTCAAACCGAACGACTTTAGCATGAAGATGAGCTCCTAAAACTCAAAATTATATAGTTGAAGATGCTTAAAGAGGTAATTTTATGGAGGAGATGAAAGTATAGAGTTGATAGTTCCGTTTGAGTACGGCAGTGTGAAAATTTTATATAGAGAGAAGGAAGCGAACAAGGGTCTATTTTAGGAGGAAGGCGTATAAAATGACCACTTTATGTCTGATATTTGACGTTAAGCATAATAAGCACGATATTTCGACAAACTGAATTATGTAAACTAAGTTGTTTGATTGCCAGACAACATCTGAATATACAAACACATGCATTACAATTTCTTCGCTTTTGCCATCGTAGTTCAAAATTATTTTACAACATTACAGTGACATGACACATTTAAGCCATGGTAGATACTATATTGCTGCAACACACCTTTACAGCAACAACTTAATTGAGGTGGTTGCAAAACAAAGTTTGAAAACTTATAGGTTCATACGTTTAATTGGAACAAGGTTCTTCAACACACGAAACAGTTGCTTAACAACACAACAATTTACATAACAATTTACACTCTGTTTCACCAAAGTTTAAAGAAACATAATATTTTATGGAACTCTCATTCAACAAATACAACACAAGTTAGATTTGTTGCTCAAGTGTTTGATACGATATTACGTAGCATCAGCGTTGCCAGGTCATTTTCAGAAAAATCTGGACCAGGTAAAATATAAAATCTGGAAAAATCTGGAATGCCCCAAAAAATCCTCTTTTTTACATAATGCTATTGAAATCATAGTGATGTGTCAATCTCCCGTAAAAATAGGTTAGTATGATCATCTGAAATTTATTTAAAGTACTAGAATGGTTATAAATTACATGTTTAAATAAATTATATAAAGCAAATAACTGTTGTTAGCATTGCTAAAATCATCCAAAAGTTGAAAAGTATTGACACGGTGTGCCCAAAAAGTGCAAATATCCATTTCACAGCATTTCAAAAATTAAGTTAAATGTGGGTAAAAACAGCAGAAAATGTGGTTAGAATTGTTTTTTAAACTATAACTTTTTTTAAAATAATGTGAAGCAAAGAATCAAGGAAATTTTAAGAGATGGATTTTTGGAACTAATAGTCGATGTAGTCCTTACCTGAATTTAAAGATTTTATTAGTTCTAAATAATTCTAATATTACTCTGAGGTTGATCAGATTTACAGTTTAATTCTGGACATCATACAACACACAACATCCAGCAGACCAGAAGGCAATTTTATTTTCAAGCAAAATTCACCGGGCTGAATCAAAGCCAACATCGTGGAACTCACACATAGTTTAAATAAACTACGGGTAACTCGACTTTTCGCCTTTTTTTAGTTCAATTTGAATCATCCTAGAATTCCATCATATTTCTTTTCTATATTCCCCTAAAATAATCTTGAAAATATCTGAACTTTTCCAGTAACATTCTAAGAGTTCTAAGCATTACCTCTTGAGATCTCTTATAAATCACCCTCCAATTCAACAACTCCATCAAATTGGTAATAATTCCCAAGAATTGGCTCATTTTTGTGTCCATTTTTCTCTTTGAAATACTTAAAATATTCTTAACAATTAACTCTTCAGAATGACCGTCACACTTTTTTCAGACTTATCCGATAATTCCCTTCAAACTGCTTTGTAGGTAAGGTCAGAATTGTTTTGAAATCCTTTTCAGTTTTACCTAAGTAGTCAAGTACTTCGCCAAAATGGTTTTGAAAGTCTCCCAGAAATTGCGCTTAAAATTTTATTAAAATTAATCTCCATAGAAACATTGGACAGAATTCCATTGAAATTATTCGCACGGTTCGTATCAGCATACTCCTTAAGTTTCATCATAAGAATTTTCTATGATTGTATTTCCTTTCTTGACAAAATCTACATGCAATTGTAATCAGAGTTGACAAGACAATTGACACCGTCTTCAACCAGAGTTTGCACAGACTGAATATTTAACACTAGACAACGGACAACACACCACTCCCATTAGAACAGTAGGGAAATTTTCAGGTTACCAAAATTTGCACCGGCTGCAGCGGGAATCGAACCATCAACTTCGTGGCACTCACCATACGCCTAAATAATGGGTGACGCCGCACGACCCCGAAGCCCACAAAGATAGATGTAGCTCTACTCAGAATTAGCTTGAAATTCTCCTTTGATTTCACAAAGAATTCGCCTCTCACTTAATTGTGAACTATTTTCAGAAGTACCTTAAAATTCCAATAATGCCCAACGTTGATGGCCTTTATTAATTAGAGTAGCAAGTTTGGCTTTTTATTTTTCATTAGAGGGTAAATTAATTGCAGTGATATTTTTAAAGCAACATGTTTAACAAATCTGGGAAAATCTGGAACATATTTAAAAAATCTGGAAATATACGTGGTCTGTCTGTGTATCTGGCAAGACGATCAAAAATTTGGAAAATCCAGATAAATCTGGAATACTGGCAACGCTGCGTAGCATATAACTCCACACCAATTTGAGTGTTACATGTTTGCTCCTCCCATTTGATGCATGATTTGAGAGGTCATCCAAACAGTACATTGAAACAGTTGAGTTTCATTATTGAGACCTAAAGTAAATCCTAAAGTAAATCAAGCAACAAAATTGAAACAGTTTCGTATCAAGATGTATTTTTGTACCATTTAAGGGATTTCTGAGCAACTTAAACAAAAAATAAAAGAATTGGCGTTTTTTTTTTTTCCTTAACTTGTTTTCCGTCGATCTTGTTTTCCGTGCTGAGCACCAATGCTACCGACGCCAGGAAAGCAGCTCTTATACCTGGACCCTACCTATCGACCCATCAACTCATGAATCGGGGACCAATGGCTTTACTTCCCTTCCGAAGGAAGGCGTGATCAGAGATGTTATGCCTCAGAACATTATTGACGATGTTTTCTTATTTCTTGGAAAGTTGTCTTTCCGCAACCGTTTACTGGAGAGTTGTAACAAATGTTCATGTCTATCGCTAGTTTCACTATTCAACCCTAGTTTCACGATTCCTTTGATGTATTGAACTCCCGATATCTGTTGAACAAAATATCTAGATCATATTTTGTATACTTTATGTAAGTGATTTGTATCCGTTGGCTAGTTCATCACTGCGAACAAATCAAGATCATTTTCAATCCATGATTTCTTAAATTGACTCCTAGTGTCATCAGCCTTAAAGTATGAGAAACCATTATCGGAAGATGTGAAGCTGCTGCGAGCAGACGAAACCTGTTAACGGCGATAATTGATGATTTTAATAATTGTGATAACAATTATAATAATAAAGATAATAATAGTAACAAATAATCAAAATACAAACCATTGACAAAAGAATTGGACAACAAAATAAAAAATATCAAATATGAAAGCAAATACGTCGATCATGCTAAAGTTGTTTGGCTTTTTTAGTGGTTGAATCGTGAAAATAGTGTAATAGTGAGCACTTTGCCGAAGACGCAAACCCTCTATCTCAACATTGTAAAAACATTTTTTTACATCTAAATTTTAGGGGGATTAATCATAAAACTCATATCTTCAAAAGCAAGAAAGTGCGAAGCGGTAAGGTAAAGAATAAAGGATTCCGTCAATCGTGTCTAAAAGATAAAAATATAAATCAAAACTCTAAGCACACTAAAATACTTCGAATAAGGAGTAAATATGTGTTTTATTTGTTCAGACAGTAAAGGTACTTGGTTTAATTGCCAGATTTTTTTTTTCTTCTAGCAGGTCACACCCTTGAAACTCTTGTTCACCTGGACAAAATTTCTGAAGCTAGTAAATTACTGTTTGATCAGAGTTTCAAAAGAGAGGTAATTGCGTGATGCAAGACTGTGGAAACAATAGGTCGTTTGAATAAAAGGGCTTGCTTTACTCGCTCTCTAAGAAAAGCACGGGAAATGAAAGTAAATCCCTTTTAATCATACATTAGGCCGTATGTCGCGGTTTAGCGAATCTTGGAATAAACCTGATGAAATTTTACAAGCACTTGGGCTGGTGGTTGAAATCAGAGCAAACATATTCACCATCTATTAAAGTGCTGTAGACCCTGTTCCTTCGCAACAAAGACAGTCAGATTTTATCTTGCAAATTTGGAACAAGTAAAGTTTTGGCTAAACGATACTGTAGCTCTCCGGATCTTAGTTGTTCAGAAAGAGTGTTCATACATACACCCGAAATTGATTTTGAAGTCCAAGAAATATCAAGTCGCAACATTTTCTCGCCATTTCAAATTTAAATACAACTTCATCATTAGAGTGAATATAGCAAACAAAAGCACCCCGAAACCCATCTGTTCAGTTTGAGAAGACGCATTTATTGTTCTTGTTCGGTGAGCAATGCCTCTTTAATTTCAAACCTTTGTGATCCTTTTCAATAACCAATATCATGTCTTTATATCAGCGAACAACAAAGCGGACATCTTTTTAAAAAAGATATTTTTGGAATTGTGAAAAAACGGATGGTACTTAACCCTTTCAGGCATCTTTCAAGAAGAGATAAGAAGGTTCTTATACATTAAACACAGAAAGAGATTATTTATTCAGTTAAAACATAACAAATACGAACGCGAAGTCTTCACATTACGAGGTAGAAAAAGTAAAACAAATCTCTTCCACTAAGCCCTGATTCCGTCCTTATGCTCTTGGCTACCGGAAATTTTCTTCATTGGTTGTCCAGTCTGGATGATCGGGATCGACTTCTGGCTTTCCGAATCTTTGAGCGCCTTCTGCATCGGAGCCATAACCGTGAGGATTCCGTCTGAGGAAATCGATGACTTGATCTGGTTGGCGTCGTGGCCCGCCGGAAGCATATAGCGGCGCTTGAACTGTCTCGAGATGAAACCATGCTCGTCCTGCTTCTCCTCGTGCTTTCCTTCGATGACGATGCTATTTTGGGAAACCATAACCGAAATTTCGTTTGGCGTAAATTGCTGCACATCCAAGTTGATTTGGAACTTTTCCTTATCGGCCTTGACCGTCGATCCGATATCCTGTAGGGAGGCCATGCTGGAATTGCGCCATGGTCGATTGTACATGGTCCGGCTTGGGTTCTGAAGGGCCGAGCGTGCAGCGGCTGCCGCCGACATGGCCGTCATCAGGTCGTCCGAAGTGATTCCGCTTCCAAAGTGCTGGTCCATAATCCAGGAACTACGCATGGGAGCATCACTCATATCGTCCCACCAGTTGCGGAACATCATCGGAACCATCGACATTTTCACTTGGGTACTTTTTTGTGGTCACGGACAAAGAAAACTTTACACTACTTTTGTTGCACTTGTTCGATTGTTTCTAACACTGAACACGAATGGAAAGGCGTTTGTTACTAATTAAAGCGTGATATGAGCTCACCCGCTTTTTATAATGCCACGAACAATGAAAGCGGACACAGTAGAACACTGGAAAGAACTCACCGATTACGTTCGAAGGTTCATGATAACGTTCGAAGTGGCTTATAATGCGCGGCGCTCAAGTCAATTCGATGATGAGTGAATATTGGAACGAATAAGCAAACTGATGAGTAGCTCAAATCACCAAAAACAAGAGTAGCAGAAGGAGAGTAAAAATCATGCTGGTAGGGTTTTTGGCCTTACTTTCGTCCACAGCATTCTTTTTGTGAGTTTCAGTTCCGTCCTAACGCATTTGAACGTCGATTTTCGTCGGCGTCCAGATAAAAGAACGAAAAATAGATTCTCCACAAGATAATTTTTCAGTGATTATTTGATTACAATATGAACAATTGAATACTACTTGCAACTGTCAATTTATAAATATTTAAATAGATCAAATTTCTACATTTTGTTCTTTGTAGTAATTGCTATATTACGTAGAAATACTATATTGTTCAAAGTGTATACTTTTTGATAGGTTCAATTAAAAGTAAATTTTGCCATACATTTTTAAGTCATTTTTCCACCAGCCGTACGATTGAAGGCAAACCGCTGAGATGGTGAGTGCTGTCAGAAGCAGTACGAAGCACATCATTTTCGAAGCACCTTATCATTGCGCTGACAGTATCTTTTAAGTTTAGGAAAATATGAGATTGAACATGGACATTTTTTATGATGGTTATTTTTTAGGGTTATGAAACGTTTTTTGTGATCAGTTTTTCAATATTTAGATTTAAATATCTAAATCTTGAAAAACTGAGCTGAAAAAAATGTTTCGTAACCAAGAACTGAGATATGGGCCACAAATTATTCTATAAGACTCTGAAACTTCAGGAAAAATTTAAAGGGGTTTGGATTTTGGCTTAAGATTATAAAACAAATCAACGGGAAGAAATGGCAAAGGGCAACCAAGGACAACTCTAAAGGAATTTCGACGAATTCTTAGAAGAGCTTCGAAAGATTCGATTTTTAGATATATACTCAAAAAAGAATAATTTCAAAGATAAAACAATAAAAGTACCTGGAGTTCGCATTACCCTCAATGCAGGCTCTACTTCCGAAGAAATACAAACTAATAGGCACAAATAATTTGAACATGTCAGGGCCAAATCACTTATTGCTGATGAAACACACATTTTTACTTTTGTGTATTTTTTTAAAATTATTTATGTAAACAAACATTCTTTTGAATTATTTTTCCAAATTTACACTATTATGTCAAATGTAGAACCAAAAGTAAAACTGCATATTGATGACGACCTCAGCCAACGTAATGCAGACTTTATCACAGACATTGAAAACGAATCATTTTGTCTTCCAAGGTGAAGACGAAACATTACAATTTATCTTTGACACAGTCTCATATTTAGGTCTTCATGAAATTAATCATGTAAAAAATCAGGAAAATGCATATTAAGACTTTAAATTTACAAATTTTACTAAAGGCTTCTGTGTGTATACTTCCCCTTTATGGAAAAATTAAATGTTTGCAATTGAATATTCAATCTTCATACATAATACTCTTTTCCCCAGTGACTGGGAGTACGAGGAAGTGCCGGAATATAATAAAGGAAATAAAAAAAGCCACACGTAGACTATGTACAATAAATTGGCAGAATATAATAAGTATTGAAGGAAATGTTGACACTGTAGGTGGCAGATTTTATTAAATTATTCAGAACATAATTTCAGAAACCGTACCAATAAAAAGAAGAAGACAGACACAAAACAACAAACTGCCAGTGTGGTTCAATCTACAACTAAAACATTTGAAGAACAAAAAGCAGAAAGCACACACACATGGCGAATAAGAATGACTTAAATTTGAGTTTAGTTGACTCATAATCGCCAAAAATGCAGGATCTCAGCAATTAGTAAACCTTCATTCTTAACGCAATGGACAATGGCAAGCACGTAAAAGCTCTTTATGCTGACTTCAGTAAGGCATTTGACCGAAGCGACATGCCGTTATTACTCTTTAAATTGCAAAAAAATAGGAATGGAATTTAGACTTTTGAATTGGCTCTAATCATACGTAGCGCAACGTAAACAAATAGTTCATTTCTAAAAAAAACTTTCAGAACCCATTTCGGTCACCTCTGAGGTGCCCCAGAGTTTTCCTTTAGGCTCAATTATTTTTATTGTGTACGTAAACGACATTTCCTACATACTTAAAAAATTAAAAATTCGTATATATGCAGACGACATGAAGTTTTTCATGGAAATAAGTAATTCTAGCGACGCAGAAGAATTCCCAAATAAAATCAACTTATTTTACACTTGATGTAGTAAAAGTCTACTCTAACTTAACGTAAAAAAATTAATGCAATTCGCAATTTGTTCATCGAACAAGCATTTAACGGTTATATTAAAAGTATCGTAGTTGGTAATACCGCTAGGAGCCAAAATCATTGCCTTTGAGTTTGACGTTTACACACTACCGCCATCTGTTACGCCGTACTACCCACCACAGTGTACTCAACAGATGGCGGTAATGTTTTAGCGACGATGTTTTACAGTGAGAAATATTCTATTTGTTGTATGTCTGTTTGTCTTTGGCAATAGTATTTAGCAGAAAAGTAAGAACACCTCTTTTTGAAATATTTTATAGAAGAAAAATATAAAATTGTAAGGGATCCAAATTTAGTCCTAGACTCCAAACTCACTTTGTAGAACACTTTAATCAACAATCAATACGAAACTAACGATTTTAAATTGGCTCACCACTTTAGTAGCCTATTGGTCCCAAGCAAACGATTAACGTACCCTATTCTAGTCGAAATTCTAGTACTACGCAATGTTTGTTTTGATTCGCTATGAAAGTTTGACAGATAAAATGAGGGGTTATTGGTTTTTCCTACGTTTCGAGGGGTGATTCGACAAGCTTGGGACCGAAGATAGTACCAGAGGTGAGCCAAAAAGTTGAGCACGTTTCTTCGGGACCTACTTGTCTTAGAGTTACCTCTATGCTTTAATACCATCATAACGAAAGCAAATAGTATGTTGGGCTTCATTGAGAGATTCAGCTATAATTGTTAAAACCTGAGGGAGAGTCGCGAACATAGAAAAATGAAACGTCAAATGCAGCCAGACGGCTACTGTCACGAACTGTCATTGGGAGCCAAGCAATTTTATGATGCTTTTCTTACAGTTGAACAAGAATACACAAGGTGGTAGGGTAGAGCGCTACTTCGTCGTAATCGCCCATTTCCGTGCTATCGATCAGAAAAGATCAATAATATCAATGATTTCATCGTGCACAAATCAATAATATGTTTTTTTCCGATGCGATAGTTCATTAGCTACAACATAGATCCTGTTAGAGCACATTGTATGAATATTTACGCTCATTGTTCTCAAAACAAAAGAAGCGCTTCTAGCGAATCCCCTTTTTCTACGTTTATCCGTAGGACGAAGAAAATCTAATGGCGTTTCAATGCGTTTGGACGGAATTGAAACTCGTAGAACGAATTTAGAATCAAGAAGCAGTATTAGATTTTAAACAATATCTCAACAATTTGTGACTCTTTATCAAATCCAACGGTAGTATGGAAAGGTGAATAAATTTGCAAGTCATCTTTGACAGAAATATTCAATTTTTAGTTAAAACTCGTTCAGAAAAGAGAGGTAAAGTGCGCGTTGTGCTTAGTAGGACGGAAATTAGATCAAAAACCCTATTGAAATCTTGCGTAAAACAATTTATGACAAACTGTTGTTTCCACCTATTTTATTCAATGGGACACCGTTTCTTTTTAATTCATTCAAAATACACACAAATCAATATATATATTCAACTGCACGCTGAATAATTTCAAACAATCACTACACGCTCAAAGCAAAACACGTGATTTTGCTACACCTGTTTTGATTTGATTTCAATGGCATACATTTTCATGACAAGTAGAACAAGTATGCAATGAATTCCGTGTGTGCTATCTGCTTCTCCCTCCCAAGTTAAAACCCATGCATTATTTAATAATTATACATTACATACGTAAAACCTTTTCTGGAATACTGAAACCTACTATGGAATCCGTACATTTCCATACACAAGAAACGCACAGAATCCGTCCAAAAACAATGCCTTCTATATGCCCTTCCCAAATTGAATTGAACCGCATTTCTACTTCCATCATAGCAAGCATCAACTTACTAATGTCATTTTCGTTTTTGCGGTGTAGCACTGGTGTAGTGTAAGCAGGAATAAGCGCGAGTCTTTGACAGCTCAACATCATTTGTTTGTAAACAAAGGTGAATCAATTATCACCTAAAATATGGTGACCGCTTACAACACTGCTTAGAACACGGAAATTATTCTCAGAAAAATCACACAGAACGAATTACGATACTACAATGTGAAGTCATTAGCATCACTATGTCAAAAGAATAAATTGAAACCCAACTAAATCATAATAGAAATAATGCATAGCATTTAAGTAAAACATTGTAACTATTGTATGTAGTCTACTTTTGCTTGACGAAAAATAAATAATTATAAAATATTTTTTTTTAACTAGACATAATTCTAAAAGTATTCCAAAGCTCGAAATTAGAACAAATCAAGCATAACTTTTCAAAAGGACGTATGTAACATTAGATAGGAAATTAGAAACATTGGATAGCTATATATGAGATTATTAAATGCTATTTAAAAGTTAATGCTATTTTTTTAAATCTGTTTGTGCTATTAGTTGGATAAAGAGATAGCGTTTAAGAGAATTGTGAAAAATGTCGAGTTTTGCAAACAAGGACAAGCCTTTTGATAAAACAAAATCATACACCTTTTACTTGTGTACTACTCACATACACCCTGATTGATTCGTCGGTATCACACCTTGATTGTTACATACACCCTGCATGATTCGTCTATTTGACAGAAGGGTTTTCACATACGTCAAATTAGATACACCGGTTTTTGTTTTGCAGTGAAGATACGTCGGCAGCTCGAAAAGCATTGAGGAATTGTCGGTTGGTTGGTTTATTTACATAACTACCCAGAGTTGTGAAATAATCGATGTTAAAAGCGGAGATGAGAGGGTCACCGCATTATCTGCTGTCAGATGTTGTACGTTTTGTGTTTTTCGTATTAATAAAGCGCTGGTCAGATTGGTATGTGAAGTTGAATATTAAAGTCAAGAATAAAGTGCAATTTTATTAGAATACGTTGCTCCCGGAAATACAAAAACAAACATACAAACTTGACGCATTTGCTGATTGATAGTGGTTGCTTTGTTTTTTTTTCACATACGACGCTTCACTGTGCGCGTATCTGCAGTTTTTGTGTTATCATCAAATTTTAACAGTTAAGTCATGTTGACAATAAAAGGGTGTATCAACACCATTTTAAAAACATTGAAAGAAGGTCACATAGGGCGTTCATTAAATATATTTTCCATAATGCATTACAATTTCAAAATTTGTTTTTCATTAACTCGTAGGAAAAGCATGTATTTTATATTCGATTAGATGCAAAATATCGATTTGTTTATTTTTGCGACTTACGTCCTTTTGAAAAGTTATGCTTGAAATGTGAGATTGTCCTTAGTAAAAAAGGTTATACACACTGCCCGGTGGATACAATTTTTACAGAGGTAAACGGGTTTAAGGATTTGGAAACCCCAAATCATGATTTAGGCCAAATCTACGGAGAAAAACGGGAATCAAAATACCGAACATCATTAATACCCCTCAAATCGCGATTAAGCCCATATTTACGGAGATAAACGGGTTTAAATATTTGGAAAATCCAAACAGCTCTCAAAGCATGATTTAGGTTAAATTTACGAAGAAAATCGGGAATGAAAATATCAAACACCCAAACAGCCCTCAAATCACAATCAAGATCATATTTACGGAGATAAATTGGTTTAAAGATTTGGAAAACCCCAAATCATGAATAAGCCTAAATTTATGGAGAAAATAAGATGTAAAAATAACGAGGGGTGTTTACCTCAAATCGCGATAAAGCCATATTTACGGAGATATATGGGTTTACAGATTAGGAAATCCCAGATTAAGGCCAAATTTTTCGGATAAAATCGGGTATAAAAAATTTGAACACCTAAACACCCCTCAAATCATGGTTTAGGCCAAATTCACGGAGAAGAACGGGTATATAAATATTGAATAAGGCCATATATAAAGAAATAAATGGGTTTAACGATTTAGGCCAAACTTACGAAGAAAATAGGACATAGTAATTTCAAACACCTTAACACCCCTCAAATCAAGATTCAGGCCATATTAAGGATATTAACGGTATTTGGAAAACTCTATTCATGATTAAAGGCCAAATTTACGGAGAAAATCGGGGATAAAAATATCGAACACCTAAGCTCTCCTTTAATTCTCAATTAAGGCCATATGATATGTACTGAGTTAAATGGGTTTAAAGATAAGGAAAACCCAAATCATAATTTAGTCCAAATTTACGGAGAAAATCAAGTATAAAAAAGTATCGATAACCTTAACACCCCTCAAATCATGATTCAGACCAAATTTACGGAGAAAAACGGGTATAAAAATATCGAACATCTAAGCATCCTCAAATCTCAATTCTCGACCAATCATTGAAAAGGGCCTATCAGATGTTGTAAATGAAACTTTGTGAGCCCTTTTCTCGCTAACTGAAGGCAGCCCACGCAAATCAATGGCATCGTCGTGTAGGGGAAAGTTTCCGATGGTTCTGTTGGTTTGTTGGTCGAAAATTGAGGCCATATTTACGGAGATAAATGAGTTTAAATATTTGGTAATTCTAAATGAAAATGATTTAGGCCAAATTCACGGAGAAAACCCCTTAATTTTCAATGAAGGCCATATTTACGGAGAAAATCAGATATAAAAAATCGATCACATAAACACCCCTAAAATCATGATTCCAAATTCCGGAGACGAACGAGCCCAGGGCTGAAAGTCTCCTTAATAAAGATATAAAAAAATGGCTCCAAATTTACGGAGAAAACGGGAACACCTACCACTTAAACACCCCTCAAATTGCGATTAAGGCCATATGTACGCAGATAAACGGGTTTAAGGATTTGGAAAACCCAAACAGCCATCCAATCATGATTTAGGCCCAATTTACGGAGAAAATCAGGTACACAAATTTTGAACACCTAAACACCCATTCATTCACGATTAAAGCAGGAGATTAAACAGATTCAATCATAAAAAGGCCCCGAAAATGGCAAACAAGTAAAAATAGCTAAAACCGACAAAATTGCGACCGAAACCGATATGGGTAGTACCAAAACTACAAATTAGTATCAACACTAATAATAAAAGCTGCTCTAGACGATGAAATTGAAAGAATAAATCCAACTCCTGGCTAATAACAACAAAAAACAAATCGTGAAAAAGTCCTCAAAATTCTGAAGTGGCGTTTAAAACAATCAAAACACAGAAAACAATTTTGAACATTCCAAAATAATCTCCAAAACGTCACAAAACCAACATTAACTACACACCGGTGAACTTTTAGATTTGGGCGTAATTGCTTTTGTTAACAAACTCGTCAATCGCTGATTTCTCGCGAATAAAAGCAAAATATCGCGAATAAACTATACCAAATGATAAAGGAATCATTCCTCTAACTGTTTGTGTTATTAGTTTTTTAGATTGAGCTTTAAATCGTGAGAAATCGGCAAATTACGTGTTTGTTTACAAAAGCAATTACGCCCTAATCTCGAAGTTCTCCGGATGTTTATATAGCCTATATTTTTTAAATGGTTCTAAAACACTCAAATGGCCTAGAATAGCCTCGAAAAAACGCCAAAATAACATAAAAACCTTGAACACTAAACTCACATAATAACCTTGAAAACGACAACTCTCAATGTAATATTTAATCGTCAATATGGTCCTAAAGACGCTTCAAATGGTCCATAACTCACAAACTTGCTTTAAAATGTCAAAATGGAATTGAAATCGCAAAAAAAAAAATCAATTCGTTGATTGTAGCTTAATTTGGATTACAGTCATCCTAGTTTTATGGACCAGCTAGTCACTTTTATGGGTCAGTCAGTTCTGCGTGTTAATCAAATGAAAGTGGCCCATATTTGCGGGTAACCCATAATACTTGGGTGACTGTATGATTATTTTGAACTCAGATAAATTTTGCACGGCGTTTTCAAACAGAATCTGATTGTCTGATGACAGATTTATGCGATCCACCTGAGGGCAGTCCGCGATCCCGCGGAACGCTGAAATAGGTTAAATGCCCGGTTCATCAATTCCTTTATTTATCCCCTGACGATAATTGGCATTGAAGAAGCCGGCATTTACCCTATCAATTATAATTTGATTCACTCCTTTTTCGAAAAACTCCCAGTTCGTTCGCTCACATCTTGTTCACAGACTGCTGATGATTCACACGTTCGAGGAGATTCTCGAAACATTCAATCGAATGAACTGGAAACGCTTAAAAACTCATATAAAATAGCCGGCACTCACTGCTCGACATCAGTTCAGTTCAGAACCAGTGAGCTAACGCTTCGAAGGATAATAGCGGTGGATAGTTTATCCGTTGAGCATTGTGAAGAATCTGTTGAAGTTTGAAAATAACATGGCACTCATTCCAATTTTATTCCGTGATGGGTGGGTAGAAGACTTGGACCATTATCCACGGCGTTATGGGCATTTGTGTCGACGCGATATGTTCCCCGATGAGTTTCTTATGCTGTTGGATAATAATCCTAGACGATTTGGACGCAAACGATGCTGCAGTCACTTCAGGTTGTGTAACAACAACAGTGAAAATGAACAGCAAATTGAGAATAAAAAGCCCAAAGACGGGTTCCAAGTGGCCGTCAACGTTCAACAGTTTAAACCGGAGGAGATTTCGGTGAAGGTAATCGATAAATGCATCACCGTGGAGGGAAAGCATGAGGAGAAGGATGGAGAAAATGGATACGTTTTGAAACATTTTATTCGTAAATACCAGTTACCAGATGGGGTTGATGATGATAATATGGTATCATCACTATCATCCCATGGAGTGCTGACGGTGTGTGCACCGAAGCTGACACTGTCTGAAGCAGCGAAACAGCGAACGATACCGGTGATAAGGGAAGCCGAGTCATCGGATGTAGATGCCAAGGAGAGAAGGGAAGGTACATTGGAAAATTCGGAAGAGTGATTTCCATTGAAAATAGTTAAGTTTCTATGTAGTAAGTACTGATCAATCTATCTTTATGTACTGTAAATATTTAATTAGTTTAAATCAAAAGCTAATTTTGATCATTAAGAGAATAATTCAAGAGAATTTAAATTAATTATTATTGTAAGTAAATTAACTAATAAGGGCCCTCCCTTGACCCAGTCAGTAAAGGCACTGCTACAATAAGCTAATATGCGATAAACAATAAGCTTGAAATGCGAAAAAGAATAAATTTAAGTAATTAAGTTGGGTTGTTAGCGGAATGCTTTAAATAAAACAGCAAAACAGGTTATCTTCCATTTAATTTCACTTAATTTATTTTGGCATCCACTTAAATTAATTTTAAATCCATTATATTTAAAGAAGAAATTATTAAATAAACAATACACGAAGCCATTTCTGCTACGGATACATTTTTCATGTTTGTTGTTGAATATTAATATCCGAAATATCGATATAGAATTAACTGTCCATATTGCATATCTCAATTTTCCAAGCTGAATAATGCATTATGTCCTAAGTAACATTTACAGATTCTTTTCGTTTTATATAGCGAATAGAAAGTAACCAAACTCCGCTGCGGAGAGAGAAACCGTTCGTTATCCCTCCCCAACAGGGGAGTTTGGTAAAGGAGATGATCAACCCGACTCGTGCCTTCTTCAAAATTGACCATTGCTCGCTTTCTATTCGCTGTATACAATTTTTACACTGTGGTACTCCAACTGAACTATCAACTGTATTCTTTCATCTCCTCACCTATCTTATAAAATGACCCCTATAAGTTTGATATCTGACGTTAAGCATATCAAACTATAAAAAAAATGTAGATTTTACGGCGTAATGGCAAAAACAGGAATCATATCAATGAAAAGTTAAGGAAATAACCTTTCTAACGGTATAACATCATCAGAAAATGGATAAATGAAGACCGATTGGAAAGGTCAGATAATTTCGGAGAACTTGAGGACAGTTCGATGAACATCCGAAAAATTGTGGGAACTGTAGGGAAGTTACAAAAATTTCGGGATAATTTTGAGAGCTTCAGGGCCGCTTCAATAAGTTCAGCAACAAACATGCAGGATGTTCATGAATGGATGAATGCCAAGAAAATATCGGGAACTATAATGAAGTTCCAAGAAATTTTTGTAGAGGTGTGATGTGGAATACTAATTCGTAAATCAGTGATTCGGAATAAATATTATAGTTTGACTTATATGAATTGATTTATTCAGAGTTGTAATAATCACTCATCGATCCGAATATGAAATTCCTTGTTTCCCTGATTCTAAGTTGGGAGGGACGACAATACAAGTCGTCTGGAAGAGTAAATAGTCGAGGTTTTCCCCTTCCAGCAATCGTATATAAGGCGGTTGCCTTAGACTCAAATTCATTCCACTATCGGACGGTGAAACGAACGGTATTCGCTTGGAAAACAGCAGCAGCAGCTCCGGGGTCGAGGTTTCCCCCATCAAGCGATCGTATATAAGGCGGTTGCCTTAGACTCAAATTCATTCCACTATCGGACGGTGAAGCGAACGGTATTCGCTTGGAAAACAGCAGCAGCATCAGTATCATTAGGGTCGACATACAAAGAACGGATCGCGATGGAAGACCAGCAAGACCACGTATTCGTCAGAGCACACGGCTACACAACCAAAAATCACGACAATTTTGAAAACAGCGAAATTGCGAGCAACATCAAAAAGTTCTGAGAATTTCAATGAAGTTCCGAAAACTTCATGGTAATTCCGAGAACTTAAAGAACCTTCAGAACTACGGGAATGTTGTATTACTTTAAGGGTTGCTCAACAAACATTACATACTAGATAAAAGCTTGTTTAGGTAATCATACACTTCTTCTGCCCTTAATCAGCTCAAATTATTCGTTTTCTAGTTGCAATAGCTTCAGGGAAGTTCCATAGATTTCAAAAAAATGTCGAGAACTGCAGGGAAAATCAAAGAGAAAAGTTCAATTTACTTCAGGCATATTGCAGGAAATTTACAGAGGTTTCCAAAATTTCAGTTGAGTTTATAGTGTTTATGGGAAGTTACGTAAACTACGGATGGTTCTGAGAATTTTAGGGCAGTTCCATGAATATCAGGAACATTTTAACTAAATTCAGAAAAATAGCGAGAACCTTCAAGTAGTCCAGACAATATTAGGAAGCTTAGAGAACTTTAGAATTTTAATAGAAAATTCTCAGATGTTCCAAGACGTACAGAAAACATCTTTGGTGCTATGCGATCTTCAGGACAGTTTCATAAATTTGAACGCAATTCCAGGCGCATCATCATAAGAGTAGCAAGATCTCCTGAGCGGTCCACAATATTGATGGAATTTTAAAGAACCATCCCGCAGCATAAAACCGTCCAGATTTTGGGAGTTCGAATTGACCGCAGCCTTTCGTTCGTACCCCACTTCGATGAGGTGAAATCTAACTGCCGGTCAAGGTTGAACCTTATTTGCTCGATCGCCAGACGCCACCCAGATAGCAATCGGCACCTCCGGACCCGAATTACCAAAGCGATCATCAACACGCGGCTCACATACGGGATCGAGTTAACCTGCATGGCCAGAACAGCTCTAAACATTAAAGTCTTGGAGGCAGGACTGGCTGGACTCACGAAATCTATTCATCCGTAAAATTAAAGATGAGACACGCCGCTGGGAGGACCTACCTGATCACCGCTCTCAAGTGGTGATCTCCAGGCTTAGGTCAGGACACACCCGTATCTCACACAACATAACGGGAAATGGCGAATTCCACCGACCCTGTCAACTGTGCCAGATCCACCATTCGGTGGAACACTTTATATGCCACTGCCCGCAATACTAAGGAGTTAGAAACCTGTTCGACATCCCCGGCAGCATCCGAGACGCCCTCAGTGAAGATCCTTGCCACTCAGTGGCAATAATCCTCCGCGAGGCAGGCCTGTTCTCTCGAATATGACTACAGCTTACCGAGACATTCACCCCTATTCTGTATTTCGTTTCGAACGAAATTCTCATACAAAAAAAATATTTTTTTGTATGAGAATTTCGTTTGAAACGAAATACAGAATAGGGGTGATTACCTCCGAAAGCGGACCCCTCAATGATGCATGCTGTCATACCCTCAACTCCGACCATGAGGACAACTACCTGTACACCACACCACGAACAGCCCGAACACTATCAACAACCACGACCACAGCTAAGAACAAAGACTTCCTCTCCGCAAGCCATCCCAGGAAACCCTCCACCTCCCAACGTAAAATGAGTCAGCATCAAAAGACAATAACCGTATCTTAGATATCACTCTGTATCACATAAGCATTCCATATTAAAGAGACTCCCTTCTGGAGCCTTTCCCATCTTTCAGAAGTGCCCCCTCCGGACACTTTTTTTAATTTTTTAATTCTGTAATTTGGTGAAACCCCTTCAGGGGTTCCCGGGGATGAACCAGCGTCTGGCTAAAAATCTCCTTAATAAAGACAACCACCCAACCAACCAATTTTAAAGAAATTCTGACGAATGAAATGAAACACCGAGGATTCCATGTCATAAGCTCGGGAAAACTCAGGGAATTTCCAAAATCTTCAACACAGTTCTAATATATTCAGATAATTCCAGAGAACTTCAGAGAAGTTTTTTTTTTTTATTATGTTCATGGACGTTAAAAGTACTGCGAGGAAGGTAAGAGAACTTCATAGTAGTTCCATTTAGCAATTGCGGGTACTTTTAAGAAGCTCCGAGTAATTATGAAATATTTCGAGAATTTCAGGAATGTTCCAAATATTTCAGAAAAATTGTGAGATCCTCAGGGAAGTTCCATGAATTAAAAAAAAATGCTGGAACGTTTGATAACTTAACAGAATTTCTGGAATATTTAGGGAGCTTTATGAAGGAACAAAAACTTCAGGTAAGTCCAAGAATGTTAAGAGATTTTAAGAAAAGACTCTCATGTGGAACGATTTGCAACTTGCAACCAAACAACAACCAAATTTAGTCATACAGGCTACAGGTTAACGTAACACTAAATAAATACAATACAAATACAAATCTGAACAGGAACTGTGCATCATAATTAACTGTGAGACTTACTCCATCGAGAACAATAAAAATACACGATTATTCGGACTAAAATGGAATCATACTGATGAGACCAGGTAATTTTTATTGAGGCAATTATGTTGAAATAATGATATGATAAGCAGGATTTTCGTACAAAATTCTTCTCGTACAAAGGTGCGTGAAAAATTAACACTTTTTTAAATTTGATTTCCTTATTAACTACGCTATAACATATCCATCAAGTCGATATTTAATAAATTAGTTTCTTGTCATTTTGATGTAAAATTAAAAATAGCCATACTTAATCTTCTCTTCTTATTCTTCCACATCTTCCAACATGGGATTATTTGCTTTTACGACTCATTTGCAGTCGATCCCATCGCCCTAGTTATCGGTATCGACTGTTCCATTTTCGGTGTAGGTAATGTAGAATTCGTAGCGCTGATGGTTAAAACACCATCCGACGAGAAGGATGTCTGCAACTTTCGTTCGTCGATTCCGTCTGGCAGCTGATAGTGTCGTACGAAACGCCTGAAAACGTAACTGCTTTCATTTTCTTCTTCTCCTTCTTCGTGCTTTCCATCTACGGTGATGCAGCATCCACTATCGGTGATCTTCACTGAGATTTCTTCCGGTTTAAATTGTTGAACGTCTACGGTGATTTGAAATGCATCGGATGCTTTTTTGGATACTATTCGATCGGTATTTTCATCACCATGGCAGGAACAAGGCCGGGATCGTTTTCGTTTGCTGCCTTGCTTTGGGCCATTATCGATTATTCGCAGAATATCTTCGGGAAATAAGTCAGTGTATTTGTCCAACAACTGGAATGGTCGCAGTTGTTCGCCCATGTAGTCACCCCACCAATCACGGAAAACTATTGGGATAAGGGCCATTTTGCACTACTTTTTAACTGTTACTTGCTTGGGATGCGATTGATGTTGACTGAAGATTTATTCAAACTAAGTTGTTGATGTTTACTCTGTGTGGGTTTGTTTTTGACTGACGATTATATGAGAGATTGCCATCGAAAATATATACAAATGCGAGCGATTCTAGTACTTTCGATGGAACTACACCACAACAAAACAGGAATGCATATCTGGGCAGTTCATTTACCAGTGAATTTTGTGGATAGCAGTGTGCGAACAACAAACTCACATACATGTTCAAGAAATTCACGGCTTGGTCTGTAGAAGTGATTATGAATGTTTTGCTTCAACATGGATGAAGAACCGAATTGAAAACAAGGTTGTGAGTTACTGATAGGTTGTGCTCCGTATGGAAGAATATCAAAAGCTTTTGTGGTCTAGTAGCAGCACGACGGAAATATTTACATTTACAAGGAACTCACAACATGAAGATATAAATAAGGGAAACTTCATGAAGGTAAAACGCCTTTCTACGATATCTCATATCAATCACGATGCTGAGAATAACATTTGTATCATGTTTGGGAAACATAACAAAATACAATATGAAAAAGGACTCTCTTGACGCCACTGATTAACTATTTGAACGAACGTTGGACAGGTTAGTTGCATGAATTTTTGATTCATCTTCATCACTTTCCGCAATAGCAGTATGCTTGGTTATGGTAAAAGTGACCTTGTGAGTAAATAAAAATTTCACCCCTATTCTGTATTTCGTTTCGAACGAAATTCTCATACAAAAAAATATTTTTTTGTATGAGAATTTCGTTCGAAACGAAATACAGAATAGGGGTGAAAAAAAATATTTTTTTGTATGAGAATTTCGTTCGAAACGAAATACAGAATAGGGGTGTTTATCTCAGAGAAAACCAATTTTTATTTACTCACTAGGTCACTTTCACCTTAATTTAAGAGTAGTACGCAAGAGATGCCGGGCCATTAAGGCTACCCTTCTTAAAGCTATAAGATGTTCGTTAAAAAAAAACATTGTCCTGCATGGATTTCTTTCTCAAAAATTAGAGAAATTATTTCTACTTAAAAAACAACTATATTCTACTTAGTCATCCACTAAACGCTAATCTATTTACAGCCTTAATTACAATAGCATGAGGTATGCATTGGTAAATCATTCGGTTTTAAAACTCAGTTTGCAGCTCACTTTCCAGCCGGTTTTTCTGCTGTTTTCTCAGATTTCTCCGCAATTTTCTCCTGCTGTGGTTCTACGGTTTGAACGATCGGGATCGTCTTCACATTTTCGTCCTTCTGAGCCTCTTTGATCGGGGCTAAAATAGTCAAAACTCCATCGGATGATAGTGTCGAAACAATTCCATTTCGATCATGCCCAGCCGGCAACATAAAACGACGTACAAAGTGGCGAGAAATGAATCCTTGCTCGTCTTGGCGCTCTTCGTGCTTTCCTTCGACTATAATGCTATCGTCAGTGGCTTTGACGGATATTTCCTCCGGTGCAAAGTTCTGAACGTCCAGGTTGATTTGGTATTTATTGTTGGCGATTTTTACCAGGGATTCTGAATCCGCCAGGTGGTTGAACCACGGTTTTGTGAATGGAGCAGCCAGTTCGTCCAGCAGAGCGGATTGTGTGGCAGCGGCAAGCCGCATGGAGTTCATCAAATCGGTAGTTGGGCCAAAGTGGTGATCCAACATTCTGGATGCACGAAGCGATGTGTTCCACCAGTTGCGGAAAAATGCATTACTCAGCGCCATATTCACTTGCAATACTGTTCAAACTGATGTTCTCAAGATTGTTGGCAATAATGCGCACTTTAATTGAGACTTTCACTTTTCACCTTTTTCTAGCAGTTCACGGTAGTCTGTTTATACTTATACTGATGTTGGTCGGTGAGTTCTCCAGCTTTTATATACTTTGAACGCACGTGAGCGAACATTCTCGTGCGTACCATATCACTGTGTGGAGAGCATTCTCGAAAGTGCTAGAATATTCATTGTCACTCAAGTATTAAGTGAGATACGTGTTTGGATCTCATTCGAGTAGAATCGAGATAGATTTATTTTTCGAGTAAATAGTACCTCTCAAGAAAACTCGAATCTCGAATGAACGCGAAGTATGTAGTCGAAATTGCTCTACTTTACATGCTGAGTAATATGACAAGCGCCTCCATCCTTGTTGATGATAGTGATGTAGACGCGTGCTATGATAGTTAGCATGGAGATTTATTGAGTTTACTTACTTTTGATAGGTATTTACTTTTAGTATTTTTCATAGTCTCTCTCTTTTCGTAATAAATATGCGAGTAAATATAAAATTGTGTGTTGAATTAACAGACAGTCCACCAGTTTTGGATTGATTTTCCACCAGCGCTTTGAGAAAACTTGACCAACAAATTGTTACTTTCTTTTTATAAATGACACATGCTTTAGCTACTTTTCTCGTGGTTCTAGAAGAAAAATCTCAAAATATTGTTTTATTTAGAAGTTTGAGTGGTGTAAGGGTTCAAAATTGTTGCTCGAATGAAGTATTTAATTCTCATCTAATCTCATATGACGTGCTGATCCATTATTCAGGGATCCCTCGAATAGCTATCCACCCATCGCTGTTTGTCGTCTGTCTTCCAACCAATTATGCAGATTTTCTGTACGTAAGAGAGCACAGCCCAAATAAAGGAATACTCATTCAGTCCACGTGCTCTCTTGCCGTGCGGATCTATTTGCTTTTTGCTGAAGGAAGTGTTACTGCTACCTAAAGCTACAACAAATTTAAACAGCACTTTTCAGTGCTCAATATTACCTGCTCATTTTCTTCTTTGTTCGACTCTTATTCTTCTTCGATACTTGTTTAAACCCTACCCGAGGTAATCCTGTTTGGATATTGACTTGGAAAACTCTTCTTTGATTAGTATTCTTATAGTAATCTGCTTGGAAGCCGGTTTGGAACAACTTTGTTCTACCGCAATGGCGATTAAACGCAATCTCTTGATCCCCTTCCTGATCAAATTTATTTGAGCAATCAATTTGATATGCTCACGGATGATGAGAATGATCCATCATCCAGACAAAATTCTAGTAAACATTCCCGGCTTAATGCCAAGAAGTAAAAGGTCCCCCTTTTGTGACAACCACTTCCAATTTCCGTGCTCTTCGCACAGAACTTTTGAACTTCGTTAAATTCATGTTTTCACTTCAAATTGGCGGTCTGGGTGAATGGCGTGTATTGGCTGAAATCATGGACGGATTCAAAGGTCTTCTCAAGTATCTTACTGAGCAGCAACACACATTTTTCACTTACGACACCAAAACTGAACGTCTGTTCAAGGTTATCTTGAAAGGACTACCCAGTGGTGGATCCCTGGATCAGATCAAAGATGAATTGATAAATTTACTTGGAGTTGAGCCATCCCCCTCAAGTAATCAAAATAAAAATGAAATCCCGTCCTGGAGATTTGCGCAACGGGATTTCTAATGGTTTTTATTTAGTTCACTTCTAGTCTAGTGAACTAAACAACCATGCCCGAGTGAACACTCCAGGAAGACTGGAGCAAATTTCCAAAACCTCACCCAGTGCCATAAGTTACAGGGATGGGGCCACGGAACAAAAAATGCTACATGCCATTTAAATGCATAAATTGTGGAGATTCCTCTCACGCAAAAGACGACTGTCCTATGAAGGAAGATGCTAAGAAATTTAAATTTTCAAATTGTAGTGAAAACCACTAATCCAATTTTTGGAATGTAAGACTCGCAAAGCGGTCCTAAAATCTCGTTCTAATCGCCAGGTAGGAAACGCTCCACGTTTCCGGCCAGCAGCAAAGTCCACAAATATCAGGAAATTAGTTACCAATCAATCTCCCGGGGATTTCATGGAAAAAACTACGATGACGTAGGACTACGTGGTCTTATATAATATATATAGAGAGTTCCGATCTTGGTTGATATTAATAGCAGCAGGAGCTTGTGTTTTGTGTAGGAAAAGGAATTTGAGCGGGGTTCTCTCTGTTTATACTCATACTGCAGGCAGCTTTTCGTTGTGTACTGGAGAACAATGTTCAACACCACGCGCCGAAAGCACTGCTGCTGCTGCTGATGCCGACGACCGGACACCTCCACACACGGTGATTGGAACTGAATCCAATCAGCGGTTGATGGCAGCCCTCGAAGCAGCCTTGATTATTATTATTATTTAGCTTTATTTAGGAGGCTTTCAGCCTTAGGCTGGTTCGCCTCCACTAGCAGCCTTGATAACCAGCTGCTTGCGGGGAGCCTTTCGTTATATACTCGAGAACACCACCAGAACACCGCGGTGATTGAATAAACACAGTTCGGTGAGACCGAATGGAATTCAACTTTGAAAGCTGTGTTAGGGAAATTGCAATCGGTGATAATTTTAACTATCATAGCAACAGTAAACTTAAATGTTAATGCGTAGAAATATTTCTGATTGAATGGTGATAAAATTATTGAAATTGGTCCAGGGGCAGCTGAGTTATTAACGTTCAAAAGCTTTCATAATTTTGTTACATGTTCCATTTTCTGTTTCACAAAGTGTACCCCCATATAGAAATCACAGACGTAGTCCTACGTCAAAAAATCGCAACGGCTTCCTCTATCCTGATATGGATCACTCTGTCATCCATTCCAACGCATCGCTCCTTCTGGACAATTACAGCTAAGCCACTCTTTTTCAAATCAATCATGTTATTAACCAGATCAACCGCAGTTTGGATCTTTGTTTTGTAACCGCCCAGGACATATCTGTTTTCTTATGCGAGGCGCCCACTCCTCTGGTGAGACTGGATCGGCACTACCCGCCGCTACTAGTGACGTTAAGTACTAAGCTGATGTATGATTTTAATATTTCACCTGCCACCTTTTCCTACGATTTTCGCAACGCCGACCATGGTAGTATCGCCGAGTTACTCTCCACTTAAGATTGGGACGACTTATTGGACACCGTTGACATTGAGTCCGCCGCTCAAACTATTTCCAATGTCTTGGCATATGTCATTGACAGACACGTTCCGAAAAACATTCATCATCTAATAGTGAAAAACCATGGCATACGAGCGAATTTCGTCGACTGAAATCCAGAAAGAGAGCTGCACTTAGGAAATTCACCAAGCACCGCACACTATCCCTTCAACGTCACTATGTCAGGATCAATCACGAATACAAACGAGTTGCAAAACGGTGCTTTCTTCAGTATCGACGTGGATTGCAGAGACGTTTGTCAGAAAACACGCAGAGCCGATCTTGATACCCGATCCAGGTTGGAACTGAATAATAAACAAATTCGCTATTAGTGACGACCATGCCCGACTGGCTGCCAGTTACGTACCACTCTCTGGCCAAATCATGAGCAGAATTGATATCAATCCCGAGATGTTTTCCAGAGCTTCCTCGAAACTCAAGACGTCGTACAATCCGGGTCCTGACGGAATACCATCGGCGTTCATCAAAACGCACTTGGACAGTTTGTTGTCTCCACTGCTGCACGTTTTTCGACGGTCCGTGGACTTCGGCGTTTTCCCATCCTGTTGGAAGCTAGCACACATGTTTCCAGTACACAAGAAAGGTAACAAACAGGACGTTGGTAACTACCGTGGCATCACTTCGCTTAGCACTTTTGCTAAATTTTTCGAACTCTTTTTATGTTGTTGTTATGGAACCGTTATTCGCTCACTGTAAGCCGTATATTAGTATGCTGGTGGTTTCATGGCTGGTCGCTCCGCTGCCACTAACTGTCTGTGCCTTACTTCCTACATCTCTAACAGTATGTCGGTGTAGGAAAGTGATGCTGTGTAATCATAATAATATAAATAATAATAAAATATAAATTAGCAACTAAAAGTAAACTTACTGTTTAATCACATCTGTTTGTGTCCTCCGAAAATTGGATGATTACGATTGTTTGACGGCTTAATCAGTAGCAAAGCAAATACTATAAGAGCAAGCATTATCATTTTCCCGTCATTCAATTGACGGACGACGAGGAGAGCACATCTCCATAAAAGCAGCAGCGGTGCCCCACTCGGGCTCATTCAATTGACGGACGGCGAGGAGAGCACATCTCCATAAAAGCAGCAGCGGTGCCCCACTCGGGCTCATACAATTGACGGACGGCGAGGAGAGCACATATCCCTAAAAGCAGCAGTGCCCCACCCGGGTTCATTCAATCGGTAGGCAGCAACCGCTTTGGCCAGCTGAGGGTTTTTCCGAGGGGGGCGACACATCTAAATCTCAAGTTTAGATGGTCAACAAATCTCACACTAGCGAATCAATCTTCGAACAATCTTCTTTCATTTGTCGCATCTACTTGCATCGCTCATCAATTTTTTGCAGGAAATCTTCAGAATCGTCATCAATCTTCTTTCTATCTACTCAGCGTGCGCGCAGCTAGCCACAGCAAAACACAATCTTTTTTGCATCGTAGATAGAGTCGTCCCCCTCGGGTTTTTCTGAGTTTACCTCACTGCGGCTTTAAGCGATCTGCAATCCCCATTCAGCGAACTCCCAGTATACCCAGACGGTGCCACAACCGTGGCGGATCTGCTCGGCGGACGGAGAGGAAAGCAGCAGCCGTGACCATATTCCGTGGCCAACGAACAGTGAGCGATACGCTTCGGCCAGAGGGTTTCCTTGAGTTTACCTCACGGCCCCAAAGCGATCTGGAATCACAACCCAGTGGTCATCCGGACAGTACTGGACAGCGGGACACCCAGTAAGGCTCCCTCAGACTTGAGACATCCCACACCTGACACCATGGAGCAACACCATTTTGTCAAGGCACCCGACAGGCCCGCTGAAAATCACGACAGTCGGATCGTTCTCAGACGGAT